ATTTATCTTCAGATGCACAAATGTCTGGCATATACCAAGAGCCATTCATGCTACTTCTATACCAATCTTGAAAGGAAGAAAACTGACCCAGTGCTAAGGGATGTTGGCATTCTTGATATAGAAGACTTGGTAAAACTTGGGCAGAAGCAGCGGGTTTGTCCTTATTTCCTGGCACGGGAGCTCAAAAAGGATGCTGATATTATTTTTATGCCTTACAACTACATATTGGACCAGAAACGCTTGAAGTCACATGGAGTGGAACTTACAGTAAGAAATTTTATATTCAAGTAGTGGTGAAAGCTTTTTCCTTCAGCTTGCTTTGATTTTAAATTAAGCAATTGCCATTAAAAGTTTTGGACTCCATTTAAGTTAATAAATATTAAATTTAATTGTTTATTTATTTCTTGATTTATATTCATCAACTTCACAATTTACATATAAATGAGTAAACGCATATTGAATAAAAACACTTCAAATGAGGCAGGAAATGAACTACGTAACACAATTGAGCAGATTCTTTGAGAAGCTGGTTGTTACTTAGCTAGTCATGAAATTTACGGTCAAGTAGAAAGTTTTAAAGGGCTGTATATCTGTGATAAGAGTGATGTTAAAACATTTTAGTTATCCTTTTATACCGCATTGATAAATGCATACAACAAACATTAAATACCAATATTTCTTATTCCCTGTTTGGCTACTAAAAGTTTTACGAATAACCCACTTTGAAATTATGAAATATTTTAAGAAATGTGAGGGTTTGCTGAAAAATAATACTTTAGTTAAAAACATAAAGAAACCAACTCACATAATTGTGTGAATTGAAATGAACTCATTCAGTTAGACTTTACCTCACCTTTGCCAGTTTCTAATGTATGTATTTTATGCTTTTATACTTGAGTTTGTGACGTGTTCTATATCCACTATTGGATTTCTGGAACTTGTAAATAAATAAAATAAAATAAATTTTTGTCACACTAGAGGTCTTTGAAATACAGCTATGAAAATGGTACAGTGTTAAGAAAGACTGTGTCAGTGTGGATTGGATTCTTGACTGCAGAAAAATGTTCCACTGATTGCCATTAATTGATGAATGAAATTTGTTTATGGGGATGGTTGTGTATAGAACATTACCATTTATCATTATGCTGCAGATGTCCAAAATGCAAATGTCAGTGTAATGGAATACCACAACAGAAACTGGTGAGACTTAATTAAATTGTGTCAAATGATCAAAAGAAGAAATATCACATTTCTCAATAGACAAAACTGGTGATCACCACTGATAGCGAATATAAAAAGTTGTTTGCACAAATGGTTTTGCTGAGTTCTCACTGAGGAACTCAAAAATGAGAAGATTGACATTTGTCTTGATATGAACTTTGGCTTATCTGACTCCTATCTCCTTAACCAGAGTTTGACAAAGAATGTTAAAAATTATTAGATAACATGAACCAGACTAAATAGCAGTGGTTGCAAAACCTAAGAGAAGTGAATGGAGGCAATATGGCCAGTGCTGGATGTGAAGCCAGTAGAACTTTGAGAACAAGAAAGGTAATATCTCTGAAAGACAAAATAAATATTCTTGAAACAAGCAATAAAAACAAAAGCATCATAGACTTGCACAGCAGCATAAATGAATTGAATAGGAGTTACCAACATAGAAGTAATGTGATAAAAGATGAGAACAGTGATCTGCTTGCAGATTCCCAAAGCTCTTTGAATAGGTGGAAGAGTTACTTTGGCCAGCTGTTGAATTACTCAGAGTTAATGATGTCAGGGAGACTGAAATATGTAAAACTGAGCCATTAGTACCAGGTACTGATCAAATTCTGACAGAATTGATTGAAGCTGGGGTTAATACATAGGTTCTCAGTTCTACAACAACAAACTCTATTTAGAATAAGAAGTATTGCCAGAGCAATGGAAGGACTTAGGAAATGGCTGTCTTCAGGGTTGGTGTGCCATGTTGTCTGGTAGAAGTTTCCCAATGTTTCAGAGGTCCTTGCTGCTTCTGTCATCAGGGTGATGAGTTGCCTTGATGATAGAGGTGGCAAGGACCTCTGAAATGTTGGTAAACTTCTACCAGACTACATGGTGTAACAATCCTGAAGACAGCCATCTTCAGACTCATCGTCATGAAAACCTAAAATTCTACTTCGTGGAAGGAATTGATTGTTGTACATGTTTATAAGCGGGGTGATGGAACAGGCTAGTATATATGCAGGAATATCACTGTTGTCAGCTACATACAAAATTATATCCGACATTTTCCTGTTGAGGTTAACACCATATGTAGACAATTGTTAGGGATCCTGAATGTGGATTTCAATGTAATCGATCAGCTTTTATATTCTGTATTTGTCTGATACTGGAGAAAAAATGGGTGTACAGTGGGACTGTACACCAGCAGTTTATACATTCAAGAAGCTTATAATTGAATTAGGAGGGATGTATTATAAAACATTCTCACTGAATTCAGTATACCCCTAAAATTGATTTATTTTTTTATTTTAAATGACCTGTTCTTCAGAGCCTGAGCATCTGTGGGTCCCAACTGGCTCTGATCTATAGACAGTTGGTAGGACTCCTTGGACGAGTGGTCGGCTTGTCACAAGGCCTCTACCTGTACACAAGGTAGCACAACACAGAAACACGCAGACAAACATCCATGCCTTGAGTGGGATTCGAACCCACGATCCCAGTGACCAGGCGGCACAAGGCCTCAGACCACTCTCGGCCACTGTGACGGCCTAAAATTGTTTAGTTAACTAAATGTGTTTAAATGAAATCATAGTAAAGTCTGTGTAGGTAAACATTTGTCTGGTGCTTTTCCTGTTCATAATTATCTGAAACAAGGAATTGATTACCTCTGTTGTTTTTTACCTTTGCTTTAGAATATGTCATCATGCAGGTCAAAGTAAGCAAAGAGGAACTGAAATGGGAGATACCAGTGTGTGGTCTTTGTTGATGTTAATTTATTGGATGTAAACATAAATATAGACACACACAAGCTGTGTTAGATGCTCGTAAGGAAGATGATGTAGAATTGTGTATAGAGAAAACTAAATACATGTTCATATCTCATCACCAGGTTGTAGAATAAAATCATTACAGGCTCTTTTTTTTTAAATATGAAAGAATTAAATATTTGGGAACAATGTTAACAGGTCAACATTGAATTCAGGAAGAAATTAAGAGCAAACTGAATTAAGATAAGGCTTGCTACTGTGCAGATCAATTTTTTTCATTCAATCTGCTGTTTAAAATGTAAAGATTAAAGTAATTGAAGATATCCGTCTTCTGGGTTATTGCGCTGTGTAGTCTGGTCGATGTTAACCAACGTTTCAGAGGTCATACTGCCTCCGTGTAATTGTTTTGCATGGATATGAAACTTGGGAATTACAGACTGAGGGTGCAAGAACACAGTTCCTAGAATATTTGAACCTCAGAGGGATAAGGTAATGGAGGCTGGAGAAGGCTTCATAATGAGGAGATCCATAATTTTGACTTTTCACCAAATATTGTTAAGGCGATCAAATCAACTTTGTTTGTTTCAGAACAATGTGGTGATCCTGGATGAAGCCCACAATGTGGAAAAAATATGTGAGGAGTCTGTTTCTATTCATATCCGAAGTACAGATGTGGCATTGTGCATTCAGGAAATCACACAGGTGGGAATCATGCCAGGTCAGAGTGAGGGAAGTTTTTGAACAGTACTTATAAGTGAGATAAAAATTTCTTGCACTTCTCTTAATCTTCTCTCCCTTATTTGTCTTCTTATTAATCATAATAACTGTAACCTTCATGTGGTAAATAGATAAGGTGAAAGATGATGTTAAATTACCTACACATTTATATTATATTGAAACTTCATTTCATCTCTACTTATTATAAAATTCAGGTTTAAGTTTGGAAATCAAGTTTTGTAAAACTGGTATATTATTGATGTGTTATGCTGGATAACATTATTTATTTCTGTCATTGTGGAAATTGTAACAGCTAGGTTTACTGTAACTAATTAACTAGATGGCTTACCGAACCCGAAGGTTCATCATCGAATTAACCAAAGCCCTCCACCGGACCATGTCATGGGCTAACAAAATCCAGTCTCCTTCAACTCCTATCTCCCATAGATCTCGTCTGACATTATCCTCCCATCTATGTCTAGATCTCCCCAGCGGTCTCTGCCCCTCAGGCTTCCCAACCAATACCCGGTGCACACCTCTTGTCCCATCCATGCGTGCTACATGCCTCGCCCATCTCATTCTTCTCTACTTAATCACCCTGACAATATTGGGGGAGGAGTACAAATTTTTAAGTTCATCATTATGTAGCTTTCTCCAGACCCCATCGTCTTCTCTCCTAGGCCCAAATATCCTCCTCACACCCTATTCCGAAATACCTGCAATCTATATTCCTCCCTCACAGTGAGCGACCATGTTTTGCACCAGGTTTACTGTAGTATGTCTTTATTTGTTCTGAAGGTAATGGAGAACTTATATGAGAACAGGGAATCTGCTGCAGAATTCTCACAGATCGGAGACACCACGAAGCCAGATTTTTCTGCTGAGGAACTCTGTATACTGAAGACTATGTTTTTAGAGCTGGAGAAGGCCATTGATGATATACCAGTTGAGTCGGGTGGCTCAACTTTTTATGGAAGTTTTATTATTGATTTACTGGCGAAGGCAGGGGTATGTAATGGATAAACCCACCCATTCATCTATTAATACATCACACAAGGTTGTCTTGAAGCGACTTCCAATCAGATCCAGTGCAAGAATTCGGTTTATATAGTTTTGTCTTGTTATGCCCGTTTGCAATTTGGGAATTATTTTTCTTTTATTTTCTTTATGTTGTACAGGCTTGGCATTACCACAAAGTGCAAGAGATGTATGTGCCATCCACTATATCAACTACCTTTTTTTTAGTGTAACAGCAGCATTTATTTTGTTGATTTCTCATATACAAAACACTGCACCAGCTTAACACTGATATTCAGTGTTCTGTTTGCCGTAATAAAACAATTTTCCAGCAGATGTCAGCTAATTATCTTTTTGTATGTTTTTTTCTTCTATTTTTAAATATGCCTGTAGATTACTCGCATCCTTGCGATACATTCCAATTTTCATATTCATGTGAATATAAGCTGCACTTTTTTTCAGACTTGCTTCCTGTAAAACTAATGTGCAACTTACAACTGGCTTTTTTTAATGGCGAGATGGTCGGTCTATATCATGGTTAATTAGGTTTTCAACATAGTGAAGCTATTTAAATATTTAAATAATAGGTCATTAAATAATATGGTCATCACTGGCAGATATTATGTGACTGCTGTACTTGCAGTTGCATTTTTATGATACTGGTAGGCATTGTGACAATATGCACAGTATGGTTAGTTGTCATGATATCACTACAACTAATGTTATTTGAACTTAAAATATAGATCTATTTGAACAAATTAAATTAGACTGTGAAATTTTGGAACTTTTTATTTTTGTCATCTGTAGTATGTTGGAAAGCTACATTGATTATCTAATGACCATTGATTTTTAAGTTTGTCAGTAATAATTAAGGATTAGCCGTGTAAAGCAAAGCAAGTACCATCACCATTTCTTGCATTTTTTTAATAGCAAAAGGAGTCTGTATAAGTGCATCTTTATGATGCGAACTGATTTTACCTGATTTGCTGTATGTTTCTGCAGATATTCATTTAACCATCATGTGGTTATATTGTAGGTCACATATGAGAAGAGCTCCCTTCTCGTAGATGTGTTAATGAAGATTATTCAGTACCTCTCGGTTACTGGTAACTCTCCATTTCGTTTCAAAGGAGCTGCAATCCAAAAGATTGTTGACTTACTGAAGATTGTGTTCAGATCGCATAATGACAGAAGTGTTCACATAGATCAGCTCAAGCATTGCTTCAAGGTTAGTTTATGTCAGGTATTTATTTGGATTTTTTTTATTGTCGTCAGTCTACACACAACAGCCATTAAATAACCATCATTACATTTGTGTGGTTATTTATTTTGTGTTTTAATTTATTATATGACATTGGTGAAAGACTCTCGGGCTACAAGCCGTGTCGGGTGGCTGAACGGTGCTAGAGCCCTGAGGAAGAGAGCAGAGATTATTCTCGAAACGTTGGCAGAAGATATGGTTTATTCACCATTCAGCCACCTGACGTAGCTTGTAGTCCGAGAGTCTTTCATCAACTTTAGTCGCCGCGAAAGCTTCACTTATATATTATATGACGTTTTGGGCTACTTGTCCGTCATTAGATATAACTTCTGCAAATTTAATTTATGCTATTTACAATTCTTGGTCACTGGTACAATGGAGATAATAATACTCAGGAAGGGCAAATATTTGAACACAGTGGAAAAAATGCCACTTGTATTGCGTACAAAGACAAAACAGTGATTTGGATGATATTTATACTGACAGCCAAAATCCAATCTTTAATTCCATATACAAACAATAATAAATCCCTTCCACCCCTTTTACCAGCATGGCCATATTATCTACTGATGCATTATTATATTGCTTGGGTACAGAAATCACCACATACCAATATAGTTCAACATTCGTAGGACTTGGAATTTTAATCGTTTCATTTAAACAAAATTTTCTGTTGTGGTACCTAATGTACTAGGTCAGAAAATAAAACTTTAAAAATGTATGGATTTTTTTGCTTATTAGTTTGTATATTTTGCTGTATGGCTTAGGTATGATGAGAATTTTAAGGCTACTCTTGAACTGTTGGCTTGTGACACTATGTTATAAAATTAATCCTTCTGAAAGGTTCATGTGACTGAAGAGGAACTAAAGAAGTCAAAACAGAAGTCTGATTCATGGGGCGAGACCAGAGCATCAGGCACCAAAGCGAAAGAAAGAGTTATCACTTATTTGTGCTTCAGTCCTGCATTTGGGTTAGTATTCATCTTCAATAATGGGTCCAATGCTGTTACTTCTCAGTGAATTCCATATGGCCTGTGAAAACATTAAATTTACTATTCCAGTGGGGATTACTGTTATTTAAAGAATAGCTAGAAAATAACAATGTGTCTGAGACTTTATATTTATAGGCGATGAACTGCTTTTTCAAGGTCCTTAAGGTTTTGCAGTTTTGGTATATCTTATAACTTTTGCTTTTGGGAATAAGCCATGTAGAAAGGTTTTGTGTCAGGCATTTAATGGATAACTTGGCTTTTTGGGTATAACCAACTTCACTGTTTGCTAAAACATTGGTATACCTTCAAAATTCTACATGGTTTGTTCTCAAGAGCCAAAGTTATACATATGTTTTCAGAGGGTTATAGTTTAAGGTTCCACAGAATTTGAGTGCTGAATTTTGTATGTGACTTGTGATAAGTTTTATACTTTATTTTATGTTTATAAACAAGGCTGAACAATCCCACTCATTTGCTTGTCTGTGATAATTAAAAAAACCAAGGCCGAGATGTGAAAAGTCTTTGATTTTTTGTTTATATTCTCTCCTGCTTTATTTTTTGTTTGTCTTCGGATATTGAAATTTATAACGTGTGTGTGTGTATGTATGTATGTATGATGATCTTTGTTATTTTAACACTAACATTTTTGAACTCATTATGATGTGGTAAAAGATTAGGGTGAAACAAACTGTATCAGTTGTTTATATTTATTGCTGCGTGAATGACCTATCACTTTTTTTCACTTTGAATGATTTGACTGCTGATAATAGTGACTGTGCAGTAAAGTTGCAATCAGTTGTTTGTCAGCAGAAGTTGTTCATGACTTGCCTATTAATAAGTATTTTGTCTTCATATTCTTTCAGGATTATCTCCATTTTATATGGGTCAGTGGACAAAAAGTCTCCAATTTTCTATTTTCACATAATCTTTCATTTTTGATTTCTTGCTAGCTCTTTTCGATGGTCTTTATCATCTATTTCAGGTTAATTTCTGTTTTTGGAATTCACATGTATCTCTCTAAGCCAGTGATGCGCAACCGGTGTTCCGCGGTGCACTGGTGTGCTGCGGAGGCCATCTAGGTGTGCCACGATATTTTAACCTCATATTAATTATAACCATAATGAGATAAATAATTGAAAAATCTTGTTTTCTACTCTGTCTCAGTTTTAATTTTCTTTGTTTTATATATTATATGACGTTTTGGGCTACTTGTCCGTCATTAGATATAACTTCTGCAAATTTAATTTATGCTATTTACAATTCTTGGTCACTGGTACAATGGAGATAATAATACTCAGGAAGGGCAAATATTTGAACACAGTGGAAAAAATGCCACTTGTATTGCGTACAAAGACAAAACAGTGATTTGGATGATATTTATACTGACAGCCAAAATCCAATCTTTAATTCCATATACAAACAATAATAAATCCCTTCCACCCCTTTTACCAGCATGGCCATATTATCTACTGATGCATTATTATATTGCTTGGGTACAGAAATCACCACATACCAATATAGTTCAACATTCGTAGGACTTGGAATTTTAATCGTTTCATTTAAACAAAATTTTCTGTTGTGGTACCTAATGTACTAGGTCAGAAAATAAAACTTTAAAAATGTATGGATTTTTTTGCTTATTAGTTTGTATATTTTGCTGTATGGCTTAGGTATGATGAGAATTTTAAGGCTACTCTTGAACTGTTGGCTTGTGACACTATGTTATAAAATTAATCCTTCTGAAAGGTTCATGTGACTGAAGAGGAACTAAAGAAGTCAAAACAGAAGTCTGATTCATGGGGCGAGACCAGAGCATCAGGCACCAAAGCGAAAGAAAGAGTTATCACTTATTTGTGCTTCAGTCCTGCATTTGGGTTAGTATTCATCTTCAATAATGGGTCCAATGCTGTTACTTCTCAGTGAATTCCATATGGCCTGTGAAAACATTAAATTTACTATTCCAGTGGGGATTACTGTTATTTAAAGAATAGCTAGAAAATAACAATGTGTCTGAGACTTTATATTTATAGGCGATGAACTGCTTTTTCAAGGTCCTTAAGGTTTTGCAGTTTTGGTATATCTTATAACTTTTGCTTTTGGGAATAAGCCATGTAGAAAGGTTTTGTGTCAGGCATTTAATGGATAACTTGGCTTTTTGGGTATAACCAACTTCACTGTTTGCTAAAACATTGGTATACCTTCAAAATTCTACATGGTTTGTTCTCAAGAGCCAAAGTTATACATATGTTTTCAGAGGGTTATAGTTTAAGGTTCCACAGAATTTGAGTGCTGAATTTTGTATGTGACTTGTGATAAGTTTTATACTTTATTTTATGTTTATAAACAAGGCTGAACAATCCCACTCATTTGCTTGTCTGTGATAATTAAAAAAACCAAGGCCGAGATGTGAAAAGTCTTTGATTTTTTGTTTATATTCTCTCCTGCTTTATTTTTTGTTTGTCTTCGGATATTGAAATTTATAACGTGTGTGTGTGTATGTATGTATGTATGATGATCTTTGTTATTTTAACACTAACATTTTTGAACTCATTATGATGTGGTAAAAGATTAGGGTGAAACAAACTGTATCAGTTGTTTATATTTATTGCTGCGTGAATGACCTATCACTTTTTTTCACTTTGAATGATTTGACTGCTGATAATAGTGACTGTGCAGTAAAGTTGCAATCAGTTGTTTGTCAGCAGAAGTTGTTCATGACTTGCCTATTAATAAGTATTTTGTCTTCATATTCTTTCAGGATTATCTCCATTTTATATGGGTCAGTGGACAAAAAGTCTCCAATTTTCTATTTTCACATAATCTTTCATTTTTGATTTCTTGCTAGCTCTTTTCGATGGTCTTTATCATCTATTTCAGGTTAATTTCTGTTTTTGGAATTCACATGTATCTCTCTAAGCCAGTGATGCGCAACCGGTGTTCCGCGGTGCACTGGTGTGCTGCGGAGGCCATCTAGGTGTGCCACGATATTTTAACCTCATATTAATTATAACCATAATGAGATAAATAATTGAAAAATCTTGTTTTCTACTCTGTCTCAGTTTTAATTTTCTTTGTTTTGATCAGGCAGATTGAGGACAGACAAGATCTACTAAATGGAATTTGAAAACAACACAACCACTTTGCAGCAAAACACGTGTACCTCCCCTTTACTTTTATTGCCACTGTATTTTTCTGCAATCTACATGTAAAAATACAAATAAGTATCTTTAAGTTTAAATGTTTGCACATCGTTAATAAATTTTGGATCAAGTGATAGGAAATATATTTTGTTTCAAATGGTGAATATATTAAAAATAAATGACATAATAATGAAGATGGATAATTATAAACATCAAATAGAACATTTTTCGGTTGGGGCCGATTTATAAGAAGTTGTTGCGGCCAATCCATGCCATAAACCATTACCTCCCCCCACGATATGCAAAATGTGGTTGGTGTGCTGCCATGACTCTGACAATATTTGGTGTGCCACGAGCGTAGAAAGGTTGTGCAACACTGCTCTAAGCATTTGCCAGTAAGACATGGACTAGTTCTTGGTGGTACTTCTAAATACTGACAACATAACAAAGCATGAGACTTGGGTTTTCTCAGTGGTGAAAATGTGGATTTTGGGGTTCTGGGTTGTGATACTGTTTGTCTTGTATGTGGTTATGGATGTTCATCTGAAATGTAGTTAACCACCTACAAGACTACATGTAATCACAAATGAGAAGATCATAACCTCCATTAATAAAGCACGTGTTCTTTTGTCAAATAATCATTTTAATCATACAGTGAGATACAATATTACAATAAATGCATATGGGTCACACAAAAAATGTGGGTCATGGGTTGTGAACCCCCACTGTGTCGATAGACGGATGATAAATTCATCACCCTGTTTATGGCAGTGATACCATTGAATCTGCTGCTGTCATCTCATTTATCTTGAAGTTTGAATATGTTGTGTGCAGGATGAAGCAACTATTGGAAAACAATTTGCACTGTGTGATTCTTACAAGTGGAACATTATCGCCATTGCCATCTCTTATGTCTGAACTTGGGATACCAATTCCAGTCACGTTAGAGAATCCTCATGTGATTGGTTCAGGCCAGGTGTTTGTTTCTGTAATATCAACAGGACCAGATGGATGTGCTCTGAACTCTTCCTACAACACAAGGTATGCCACTTAAACTTGTTTTAGTAACCTTCATTTAGAAGTTGAGCTATGGTCCGTGCTGTCATACGTTTGCCATACAACTCGTCTTCAGATCCCCAATTTTGTTGTTATGTACCATGATTTTACGGGTATATAATTTTAAGGGTAAAATCAGGATGATAACTCGACAGTGGTAGGGTTTGGGGATGTTGGAGACAATATCAAACTGTCAGATAAAGGGAGTCTTGGTTATTATGAGTTAAAAACAGCATCTATCATGCTTTGGTGAATAGCGCTTAAAATTATTAGGTCCAAGGAAGTAGTTTGAATTGTTCGTATTATAGAATATAAACCAAATGAATGAAGATAATCTGAACAACATAAAAAGGCAAAACTGGGAAGTGTTTTAAAATATTATCTGCCAAGGTTGTGGTGGTGATAATGTTTAGATAATTTTTTTTCTTCCATTTTATGTTATTTCATGAATACATACAATGGCACACACTTCTTATTTTCTGACACAGTACATATCTTGTATTGGATGTATTGAAGGAATGACCCCCAGTACATATCATCGTTGGGAATGACCGTGTTGAATGTGTGCCGTGTCGTTCCTCATGGTATTCTGGTGTTCTTCCCGTCATATCCTGTCCTGTACAAATGCAAGGAAGAGTGGCAACAGTCTGGTCTCTGGTCAAAGATTGCTGCCCTCAAGGTAAGATCATATATAATATTTGACTCTTTATTGTTTTGTCATTGGTTTGTAATTTAACAAAGAATATTGTGGTTGATGAAAGACTCTTGGGTTACAAGCCGCGTCAGGTGGCTGAATGGTGAATAAACTTTATGCCAGCATTTGAAGAGAAACGCAGTTCCCATTGGTTAGCACGCTACAGAGGACCAGATTTGTGCAGCAACCCTCAGGATGAGAGCAGAGATTGCTCTTGAAACGTTGGCAAAAAATATGGTTTATTCACCATTCAGCCACCTGATGCTGCTTGTAACCCTAGTCTTTCATCAACTTCAGTCGCCGCGAAAGCTTCACTTTATACAAAGAATATTGTGTTTAAAATATGTGAATTGTTGAGCCCAGTTCAACATATGGATCAAGTACATGAACAAAAAATCCAGATGAAATGGGTGCAGAAAACACTGCAACAAGTCTGATTAATTAATTAATTCTTTAATTAAAACTTATTTTTTAATCAGGTCATGAAACATGATCTTGCATTTTCGCTGTTCTAATTAGAATGAAGATTTAGCTTTAAAGAAAAAATGCTAAAGCTGCTAACAGGATGTAAGTATTTTACATAATATTTGTATGATCTATAGATTTTGTGGCGACTGAATTCAGTGAACTCTTCGCTAGAAATCAAACTCATCGGGTGGCCATAAGAAACCAACATTTTGAGAGCTGTCTTGGTCATCATCAAGAATCTGATGGTTTTCTTGCATGATTTTATTTGATTACCTTGGGTATATAGCAGCTGTTTCATAGGCTTAATTCTTTATTATCCCTCTGAAGGGAACATCCATTCCTCCCTGGAAGCAGCCTTTACTAGCTGAAGAAGCTAGATTTGACTGCTCAGTGCAGTGCTATTGTTTCTGGCTGTAAACTCTGAATGTGTCTCTTGCAGATCTTTGTAGTGGGATAATGTCTATAAGAAAGTTATGTTGTTTACATTTTATTTTGTTTCTTCTGCAATTTTATGTATATGTAACAGCTTTTTGTTGTCCTTGGTGGACTAGTAGTTAGTGTGCTCACTACTGGACCCAAGGTTCACAGGTTTAAACTCAGCCAAGGTCGATGTATTTTTAAGGGTGATAAAAATCTAGCACAACTCCCTTCCGAGGGGAAATAAAGCCACCGGTCCCATTTCGTAGATTTACGGCATGTAAAAGAACCTTACGAGCATGAAACGAGATGTTTTGCAAGCAAAATTCAGCGGCCATTTCTCACCCAAGTCTCTCCTGATTCACTACTAGATGGCTCTATCAGACAAATCAGGATTGAGTAGACATTGTGCATGTCACTCACTACTCATAAATGCACACTTCAAAGACAAAGAAACCTCCCACATGGGAGGGGGCCAAGGCTCGACTTAGGGCTGTGCCATAGAAGAATATTAATCAGCTTTTTACAATGATTTTAGATTTCTCATTCCAAGGTTTTCATGCATTTTTATTAATTTTATGTGATCCCAGCCATAGCTCCATATATTAGTGCACTGTTTCCAGGTTTGGTATTTCTTGATCAAAGGTAATACCTTCATTTAAGGAATGAAATTTAAGTCCAGTCGTGAAGTGTAGACTCTGTGTTTATGTGAACATGTTAGCGTGATCCATGTGACAGAAGTAAAATACTGGAAACACTTGTTCAGAAGGCAATTGCTGCCACAGAAGGGCAGGCTATTATATGTTATAAAATACAGAATACACGTAGAACAATAAACTTATTGCTTGTAAAGTAGCGTCTCAGTTGCACTCAGCTCCCACTTGCTAAACTGGGTAATGTGGTTAGAACTAGGTAGAACTGGTTTTTGCAGGTTATAATTGGTAAGAATCAGTTTTGACTAACAAGGATTTGGCCTTTACTAACTAACTACTTACTGTGTTAAGATCTAGTTACTAAAAACAGCATTAAATGCAAGATACTAAAAAAAAAGTTTTTTTTAAACTAAAACTTGGCAGTGATTTGTAATTCTTCCTAAAGAATGCTACTTTTGTTTATTGTAATTAGGGGCTTCCAGTTTTTATTAGTAACAGGTTTCAGGATTTTAATACAAGTCCTATATACACAAGAAGATGCTGCAATATAAGAATGTTATTAAATGTTTATTAATCTCACAAAAGTTATTTTCTTTTAAATATGTTCTGTATTTTCTTCAGCTAAGTAGTTAATTGTTCAAAAGTTGCATGCATTTACCGATAAACTGGAATTAAACTGCCACTTCCCATTTGGCATTTTGGTTTATCTGTGAACACACTGTACAGTGAAAATATTGTTGGAACTATTATATTTAGAATCAGCTTGACAATGTTGTTTACTCTGCATTGCAGCCAATCTTTGTGGAACCCAGAAGCCGTGATGGCTTCAACACCACCATAGCTGAGTACTGCAACAAGGTGCAGGACCCTGTCACCAGGGGAGCCTGTTTTATGGCAGTCACTCGAGGCAAAGTGTCTGAAGGACTTGACTTTATGGATGTTAATGGTCGAGCTGTCATTGTTATAGGACTCCCATTCCCTCCACTGATGGATACTTATGTCAGACTTAAACGGATCTACCTTAAAGAGAACCACGGAAAGAATGGAAATCAAGTAATTTGTTCTTTCATTACTGTAATTCTTTCTTGGAACTGAATACGTAATAAGAAATATTTTGAGAATTTTTTTACTGTGGACTTAGTTTATCTTTGTTTTTGTTATCGTTCATATTATCATTTATAAAAAATGGTCGGTTTTGTATTTTTGATGATATATATCAATTTTATTCATTAGGAACTGCAGTCATTCATTATATTCTAATTTCCTTATTCTACCATTATAAAGTGTGCTTTATCAAACCATGGTTATTTTTTCTAAAATTTTATGGTGTCCTGACTTTCATTTCCTGAATTTTTCACGTTGTTGTCATTTTTAATGTTCATTTTATTTCTAACTGTATTAGCTTCTGGATTCTCAAAAATTGTTATTGTTTGTATCTGCCTTTTATTCAGCAATGTAGTTAGAAGAAATTGCTATGGTGTAACAAAAACTGTTACCATTATTACTTACAGTGTCTCACTGCAGAAGAGTGGTATCTCCTTGAAGCCACACGTGCTGTCAACCAGGGCATTGGTCGAGTAATTAGACACAAGAATGACTATGGGGCGATACTTTTATGTGACCAAAGATTTGAAGGGCAGTCGTTCAAAACAGCCTTGTCTTCATGGGTACAACCACATGTGAAGAAGCAATCTTCATTTGGCTCAATGATACGTGAATTGCGGCAGTTTTTTGTTAACGCAGAGAAGATGGTAAGTCCTGAATGTGTGAGATGGAAGAAAATATGTCCATGTGTTGATACGAGATTGTCGTGAGGCTACACATCTCTTCTTTTCTTTCCACTTTCTCACGAAGATTGTTCTGCTTTATTGAAAATGTGGGTTACTCTAATCAAATCCTTGTGCAGCATCTTAAAATAGGCCACAACTGCGTCTTTACTAATTCGGACTCTCCCTCACAATCAGTGTTTTATAGTTGTCACTATGTAACCAGTGTAGCTAAAAGTGCCTGTGTAGGATTTGAGGTTTTCACAGTGGTGAGTCTAAAGATGGCTGTCTTCTGGGTTGTTGCGCTGTGTAGTTTACTGACGTTTAATAAGAGGTCCTTACTGCCTCCATCGCCCTGATGATGGAGGCAGCAAGAACCTCTAAAATGTCAGTAAACTTCTACCAGACTACATAGCGCAACAACCCAGAAGACAGCCATCTTTAAAAGTGCCTAATTAAAAAAAAAACTGCAGCCTGTAGCACATGGTCAGGCTGTATAACCATCATATCCAGTGTGGTGGAAATGCTGTTACCAGTTAATAGTGTCACAGCACTCTAATCCTATGTAACAATTTAACGCAGTGTGCCACAGAATGGTCAGAAACCTTCAGACATCAAGTTTAACCTGGTTGTCTGTTGTATACAAGATCCCATCACAAAAATTTAATTGTAAGTTAAGTTTGTAATTGTGTTATTTGATGTGCTGATGGTAGTCATGAATAACAAGTGTACGTGAATAGATTATGAATCCACTTATCGATTTGTTGGAGTCCACATATTCCACCCCCACCCCAATTGCCCACATTGTGCCAAAGAATTTTCCGTATTGAGGCATTGCATAACATGGATCATGACTGCCATATCTAAATTCTTGTGTAATCACCATTTGTGGTGATATCTTCCATCTCATTTGACACCTGTGCTTTTGAGAAACTGTCTAAATGCCCATGAGATTACGTTTACGTTCTCAGTGTATGTAGTGAAAGCATAATGGGGATGTCATACGTACCCTTTGTTGTCCGTCTGTGTTTATCTTCAAAACTGCACAGTGGATTTTGATTAAATTTTGAGGGTCTTCACTAAAAGTTACTTCAGTTGACCCACATCAGACCACCTGTACATGAAGCTCAAATCATACTTAATCAGATTTCTCAAAATGGTATATTGTACAAGACTGAAATCTGAATGAATATCTGTAACTTTTGTTTATGAACTACTCGGGCTACAAGCCGCATCAGGTGGCGGAATGGTGAACAAACCATGTCTTACGCCAACGTTTCGAGAACTATATCTGTTCTCATTCTCAGGGTTGCTGGGTAAAAAGTCTGTTCCTTTCTTCTGCACTAGCTGATGAAAACTGGCAGTGGATGTCAGGTAGTAATGATGTTGCTGGTAGCCCGTCTGTTGCTTTGTTTCACGCTGGCGGTTGAAGTCACATGCTAGCGCCGGCTGTCTCGGCCTCCTGGACAGACAGCAGTTTTGTCACAGGATACCAGGCCTGGCCCAGAGTGAAACCATCATCTCTGTTGAAGTCGTCATGTAGGCGGATCTCGATTGATTCTTTTACAAAATTATACTTGTAACCATCTTTTGGTTTGTTTGTTGGTTGGTAGTTGCCACCTCCAAGATTGAGAGCGCCTGCCTGTGAGTTGAAGGCTTCTCCTCCTGTTTCAGCATCATTTGACACAACAGCCGCTCGTTCCCTTGCAGTGGCAAGGATGGGGTGAGTCGCTGCATCTCTAGTGCAATAAATTTACTTTCATGTGATACATGATCTTGTAATTTCTGAAAGTTTCCTACTTAGATAATCATTAATCATTTTACAGTCTAGGTTGTTTGGGTTATGGACACTGTCCATTGTCTCATGTTATAAAATTACACAAAATGTTTTGAGAACTGGATCTGCCCTTGTCTTCAGGTGTGATGAAGGGGAGAGGTATTAACTCTGTGTGGTCCATTAGAATGAGCTAATCTCAATCCCTTCACCAAACCTGAAGATCAGGACAGATCCAGTTCTCAAAACATTGTGTAATTTTATAACATGAGACAATGGACAGTGTCCAAAATCCCAACAGTCCAGATTATATGTGTTACACCATCATCAGAATAAGCAAATTATAGTTTTATAAACCTGTTTTAACATAATTAATTTGCCAAGGAATGAGTTAAAACTAGACATGTAAGATTCCAAACGAAGCCTTCCGCCGGTGCTTCCAACAATGGCAGGATCGATGGAGCAAGTGTGTGTGTGCTCGCAAGGGTCCTACTTTGAAGGTGATTAGGTAAGCGTTGCCATATGTCCTACCATTACAGTGCTATACCACAATTCCTGGAACTTTTTGACTGCCCCTCGTAAAGTTACATTATATTATAATGTAGTAGGCATAGAGCATTACAGTAATAGAGAAAGTACCAGAATGATAGCAGCAGATGTTTGCAGGACAGACAGTAACATTGCTACCACATGTTTCTAAAGGGGAGGGGGGAGAGGGGAATTGTTTTGACCGCCTCTCATCTTAGTTGGAATAGACCTTAGACATTATGCTAGAATTATTTTTGTAAAACTAATAATCTCTCAGCTTTAATTGGATCTGAAGGCACATGACATTGCTCACTTAGAGGCCACTATAGGACCTCTGTCCTGCACTGATGAATCCACTCCGCATTATTGTATCCTCTTTGTTTAAGATCCAATTTAATATTACCCTCTTATCTGTGCCTCGGTCTCATTTGTCATCTCTCATGTGCATGCTAAATGTCGTACCCATCCCAGTCTCTTTTATTTGATTACTTTAATAATTTTTGGTGATGGTTACAAATTATGAAACTTTTAATTGTTTAGTTTTCTGTAACACCCTCAGTCCATGTTCTTCCCATAGGGTGGAATACCAAATTTCATGCCTATATAGAAATGTAAATGATAATTTTATATATTTTTAAAATATTACAAAATATTGTTTTTTGTTTATTTTAATATTTACAGTTTTAGATAGGAGACAGGAAAACAGGTCTTGAACTGAAGATAACAAGTATTTGCGTAGTTAAATCTGTTTATATTATCTTCATAGAAATTCTCAACAGTAAGCACTTCTGGCGTCATGATCCAAGCAGAGGTATTCAAAATGCTGGAAACATTTGGATGGACTGCTTTGCGCTCTGTTTCAAAATGTTTTTCTGCAGAACATCCTTGACTTCATTGTCTCATGCATTATCCTGATTGAATTCCATCTCCTTAGGAATGCACCTGCAGTGGCTAGTGGCTTTAGCTCTGAATGGTCACCTGATGAGTACTTAGCCGCACCTTCTGGCAGCGTGCCAGCGGCAAAAAAGAATGACTTGTTTGGAGCTTTGGAAAAACCAACTACTGTTATAAATTTCAATGATATGAGTGCAGCATCTTCTACCAAATCTCTTTTTAAGTGGAGTGACAGTGAACAACCCAAAGCAAAGAAATTGAAGCTGAAAGTAGCTCCACTGAAAGTTATGTCACCATCTCAGGTAAATTATAATGGTTTCACAGCTTTATTTATTTATTGATTTGAGTTTTCTGTACAAAAGATTGCATCATTCTAACCATTTTCACAATTTAAAGAAATGTTTATCTAAAAATTGATGTGTACGGCAACTGATGTGTTCGAATGGACTAAAAATAAGTGGAGTTTTTTCCTTTGTTGTGAAACATGTTGAGTTGTATCTTTCTGCATTATAAAGTGGGAAAGGAAGTTATGGGTCAGGGGATTTATGGTACACTTCTAACGAATACTGAAAATGGTATATTACAATAATGTTATTGAATTTATAGATTAATAGCTGTTTAGATCTGAGAGCACTGGCCCACAATGCTAATGGAGACGGTCGTCAGATATCCTAGGTTAAGGCCAGGATTATGCAGATTGGAGGTCATGGCAGGCACAGGAAAAAAGAAGGGATTGTCGCACATAATGTATCTTGATTATTCTGATCAGCCGACCTGATTTGGAGGTTTTCCCCATATGAGTTCCTCTTATTTACTAGAAGTATCTGTAGAAGTAGAATTGCTTTCTCTGTTTGGGGGTGAAGGCGTGTTCAGGTGCTAGTGTTCTTGGAGTAATGCGATGGTTTTCACTTGGAAACTTAAATATTTTTGTAGCATAAATTTCTTGAAAATTTTATTTTGAGAAAAGGGTTTCAAAGTATTTTAGGAATTGTCAGTATCAACTATTATTTTGTTCATTCTTCAATTAAAAAGAGTATTTAGTAATGAAAATTAAATCAAGGGTTATGGTTTCAGGATTTAGTGGACCTGTGTGCAGAGGAGAGAAAAGCAGTAAATCCTGTTATATTAAAACCTGACTCATCATTGTCTATTTCATCAAAACCTTGTTCATCCCAGAACAAGTCTTCTTTGAGCAGTGCACCAAAAGTACAAGAGATCAGCTCTTATTTAAAGGAGGTACAGTTGCATCATTATGCCATCATTGATTAAAATGTGGGCCCTTTCGCTTGCCTTTGACGTCCTGATGTCATGTTATAAAAGTAAAGTAAAGCTGTCATACTATACGTCATGTAGGCGCTAGATGGGGGTGAGTGGTCAGCAGCACGCCCCGGCCGGCTTTACCCTCGGGAAAGAACCCCGGTACCCGTCAGATAGGAGGCTGGGCCGGCCCCAGATCCGGTCTGGACGTATAGGCTAGAGGAGAAATCCTGTGCCCCTGTCGGGGATCGATCCCTGGTCATCCAGTTCCGTAGCCGGTCTGTATACTGACTGAGCTAATAGAAAACAAACTACTGAAAGTACAGCATCCCGACTTGGTGTTATCACGTACAAATATTATCCAAGGGAGGGCACAGTTTCCAAATTACAACTGACAAACGAACAAACTAAATGGAGAAGGGTCTTTCTTGAGGTATTAATGGTCTCTCAAGAGGTTTATTACTTATATAATTTTCTTGTCCAATCAATGATGTTCATGAGAAGAATTTTGCCAAGGATTCACATGTTATGTTATTTCAGGTCAAGAAGTCACTAGATGCGACTACATATGAAAAATTCTCGAAGCTCACATGTGCATATGATAAGAACAAGGATTTGAACCAGCTGCTGGGTGCTCTGTGGGAAGTTATGATGGGTGATGGAAGAAACATGAAAGAACTTTTCAGAGGTAAGAATAGTAAACTAAGAGAATGTATACAGTGAAGTGCCATATGTACATTGGAGTCAAACCCAGTAAGGTTATTACATATTTGATTCAAGGGTTTTAACTGAGGAAATTCCTTTGTATTATTTATTAAACGTATAAAAGATAGGAAGTGGTTCTTTAAAAGTGAATTTTGACCCCCAATTGACATATGAAATTAATTTTCGCCGCTACTGAGGTTGATGAAATACTCTCGGGTTACAAGCCGCGTCATGTTGGGGGGGGGGCTCTGAAGGAAATTAGTAAGACACGCTTTTCTCAGTATCAACGTCCAAAATAACATTTTTTTATGGTACACACAGTTTGAGCAGTGTGCATTGAACATCTACGTACAATTTTGACCAGCGAATGTCTTATTTGTGGTCCTGTGTTAAAAACCCAGCCAAATGCAGGCACTAAGTAAGTGGACTGTGACAAAATAATTATTTTTGTTTTGAATGAATAAATAGTTTAGCTGAGACTGCTGTATGAAGCAAGTACTGTATGTCTGGCAGTGATTGACGACAATTGACAATATTCCTCTACTCTTCATGTCCTGTTGTGAGGCTTGGAAAGTTGTGTTTCATATACAGAGTGTAGCGTAGTTTATTGACAGTTTTCAGTGATTTGGTATGCAATATGGATGTATAACAGTTTTTTCTTAAAATTATTTGTTATAAAAATTAGGGTGCATTTAATATGTGAAATATACAGGTGAGTCAAAAGTATGTTTACAAACTCTGTGCGTGTTCCAGGATCAATAATAAGAAAAAATTTCCCTATGATTCATGTTTCATTTTCAAAATAATAGCCAAAAATAAGTTTCAATGAATGACTTTATGTCAAAGTGAATCCAACTTCCAGCAAAGATTTTCAATTAACGTTTGGGCAGGAATTGTTGGCGACATGCTTATTGGTCCACACATGCTTCCATCGCGTCTAAGAGGACCTTCATATCGGCGATTCTTAAGAAGACACTTGCCACGTCTCCTTGAAGATGTACCACTGAATACAAGAAGACAAATGTGGTTTATGCACGACAGAGCCCCAGCACACTTCTCCCGTTGCTTCAGATATCATCTCAATGAACAGTATCCTCAGAGTAGCAGGTGGCAAGCTTGCTGCCTCCATATAAATTCTACCCATTCCTGATTTGTCTGATAGAGCCCTCTAATAAGCGAATCAGAAGAGATGGGTGAGAAATGGCCGCTGAATTTTGCTTACAGAGCACCTCTTTCATTCTCATAATGTTCTTTTACTGCCGTAAATCTACGACATGGGACCGTCAGCTCTACTCCCCCTCCGAAGGAAGTCGTGCTACGGATTTTTATCACCCTTAAAAATCCATTGACCTCTGCTGGATTTTAACCCAGAAACTTTGGATCCAGTGGCAAGCATGCTACCACCAGGCCACCGAGGGCACAAAAGTAATATTTATTTTGAAGCAAATTATACACGAATACTTGATTTTTTAAAATTTTACAATTAAAAAGTATGGGTGTGTTATACTTGAGTAAGCACAGTATTTAAATTTTGTAACGAAACTTTAATCGCGAGCAAACAGGAGTACCCGAAGAGGTGTATGGCCAGTCATTTGAAAGAGAACATTATCCTGATGACTGTAGAAATGAAAAGTTTTGTAATGACACTTTGAAGCTGTTCTGATTTGTCCGTTAACAACATATAATAAAATGTAGGATTTGAGGTTTTCACAGCGGTAAGTCTAAAAATAGCTGTCTTCTGGGTTGTTCGCCGTGTAGTCTGGTAGAAGTTCACCGACGTTTCAGAGATCCTTGCTGCCTCCATCGTCAAGGCGATGATGGAAGCAGCAAGGATTTCTGCGATGCACGACGCAACAACCCAGAAGACAGCCATATTCAACATACAAAGTCGCAGGTATTAAATTTGAATACCTGTTATTTTTTAAGGTATTTATAGCGGCTAAGTGACTGCAAATGCTGCTCTGTCTTAATATTTGATATCCAGTGTCATGAAGTTGTGAGTTGATGAAATCGTGTAAAATAAGATTATCAAGGTCCATTTTTGTGTCATTATACCCCGCACTAAGAAAAATTGCCATCACAGGAGCGTGTTCTAACATTTCTTGTTTCTTATGATGTTCCAGGTTACAGACGCTTTCTTCATTCAAGTCACAGAAGGGAATTTGATGATTATTGTTCTGCCATGATTCACGAATGACAACTCGTGCTGAAAGGTCATGTTAATTTGGTGAGATTACAATTTTTCATGGAATTTCCACAAAATTTTGATCGGCTTTACTTGAATACTTGTGTAACATTTATGCCGTGACGACATGCACAGCATTTTTAACTGTTTTTGACCGATACGGTACGAAGAAATTTGTTTGATAAACATGTATTTAGATAAGTGAATTATCAAATTTGCAAATCTGCCAAGATATTGTTTGCTGAGTTCAGTTGGATCTAACCCCAAAAGTTCTGAAACACGTCTAATTCTTGACATGACAGCATTCATAAAAACTGGTACCACACACGTGCGTCAGTGTACAGTGCATATAGTAGTCTACAGTCTTAACCCTTTTCGGTCCCTTTTAAATATCACTACGGCTCTTGGCTGGTCTATTTAAATACCACCAAGCTGTATTAATTCAACTAGGCAAATCTCGGTTTATGAACGAGTTACGTTCCAAGACATTCGTTATGTGTATCTTGCATTCCTGAGCTTTTACGATACGTTAGCAGCCATTTTAAAGCATTAAAACCATTTACTGAACATCGCAATCAAGTGATGATCATATTACATTATAATAGGGGGAGTCACAGATTTATTTCTCACGAGAAAACATTCTACGCGGCGAGACATGTAATACATTATAATAGGGGGAGTCACAGATTTATTTCTCACGAGAAAACATTCTACGCGGCGAGACATGTAAACCAACGTTTTTTTTACTGCCTAGATTAGTTTTATTAACCAAGAACAGTTCAGTATAATTACCATATAATAATTTTCTGGTAATTATTGCAATAAATACATTTTTAAAAGTTTATTTATTTAAATCTTACAATTATGTTCACTATACGTTTGGCATTTCGTTTTATAAGGAACTCTATCTATTGGCGACTTTAAGAAATTTTGAATGAATTGTGACGTTCGTTGTAGCGAATGTTCGTAAACTGAGAGTCGCCTGTTATACTGTGAACTGGTTTGATTTTCTTTTATAACTTGCATAGAATGGAAGAAACTTTGATAAATATGGTGAAAACATGTTCCGAGAGGTTCACAGTTCCTCTTATTTGATTACTGACCGTGTGAAATATTTTTTCACGAACTGTACCGCTGTCGTTAATGAGATCTGCCTTTCTGCTTCCTGCCTTTCGGTAGAGAATAAAGCAAGTCCGAGTCGGTAGATAAGACTTTGGCGACGTCTAAACATCTGTTATTGCTTGCAAATCCACCACATGTAAGCATTGGATTTCGTAATCTCAGAGCTTTCTTTCGCGCTGATTGTGTTCGAAAGATCAGGACCAAGTTCAACACCATAAATTTGAAACAGACCGACGAGGTCACTTCACATAAAGAATGAATTTGCATATATCAGTGGTGCATTGCTGTTTTATTTCTTTATGTTAATTTGTTTTTTTGTATTGATGTTTGCTGTGATATTTTAGTATGATGAATGTCCGTTCAATGAAAATGCTATTTATAACCTTCTAAAGTACCACATGCTCCTACAGAAAAACCTGCAAAAAAAGTAATCGGACTGAAATGGAATAAAAACTACGTTGCATGTGACATGTTTGTGTTTCCCCCAAAATTACGCAGTTTTTGGAGATGGCTTCCAAAAAGAAGTTTTTGGATGTTAGGAAGTTGTGTAATGCAGTAATTTATGTTAAGACGATGTATTTCTTTTGAACGAAAACTGTGAACTTGCAAATCGTTTGGCCGGCACAGATTGGTCTTCAAGGTTAACGTACCGTGTGGTGGTATATTTGGTAACCTATAAGGTAGGAACAAAAAACATTTTTACGTGGATTTTGTGAGGACTGATCTCTGGGAAGTTTTGAATTATACAGGGAATAATGGATGTTTTTCTATGCTTGGGTGAATTTATTGTATCACTGGAGGTTAAAGAAGATGATCATCGGCCATTTGGATAAAATTTGTATGATAGTGAACAGTTTTGTGGATCGACATAAAAAAGGTTTGGGAACCCCTTCCCTGAATGAGACATGACTGAATCGGGGGGGGTCGGTGAAATTATATTGACAGGCGAATAACGAAATGCCCGTAGAAAAATTTTCCTTCAGTGTCTACCACGAATCCCACGCGAACCCGGTGTCCGTGGTGGATAGCCGGTTACTAATGGTCTAGACCAGGGATTCTCAACCTTTTTCGCTGGCGTACCACTAATTCTAATTTGACACATTAAATGTACCACTAACCAAATGCATTCAGGGAAAACTTTTGATTTTCTTACTTGGTTATCATACCACTCAACATTGGCTCGCGTACCGTAGGTTGAGAAACGCTTGTCTAGACAATCTGGAATGTTAATATCCTCAGATCTCTTCAGTTAGCCTTGTGGCATACAAATATGTTATTATAAACATTATTTTATTTTTTGTTTAATGACGCTTTCAGTAGTTAAGACTATATACTTTCGAATTATAGGAAGGTTAATGAATGTGAAGTAAGATGTGGCCTAATTTATGGTGCTGTCCCGGGATTTTCCGGGAGGTACTGAATAAAACCACGTAAGTTGAGATAACTGGTATCTGAGTCGAGGTTTGAACAGGGACTTAATGAAGCGACATTCTGTAAGAGGCTGTTGTGGAAAGGGACTTTTTCAAGGACTTTGACGTGTGGTGAAGCGTGAATGTTTCGTGGACTTGATTTTTAGAGGAAGAGGGTGAATCCTTTTTGTATAAAAATCAGGATCGGCTCTGCCACCAATTTATATGCCCTTTGACATGGAGTTTCGAATGGTAGAAGAAGTCTTTATCAGTTTTCTTGTTTAATGGCTTCCGGGCGTTTTATTTTGACTGTTTCTTTGATAGATGTTTCTCTGACTCTTGACGTGTCAATCTGTTTGCTGTGTTTTTCATATAATTAGAGAGGCAAGGGTATCACATTTAGCACTGATGTTCTTGACTTCTGTTCGTGGATGTCACGTTCTTGAAAAGGCCCGCAAACGGCTGAAGGGAGGAGGCCACTGGGAAGACCTAGGCGTAGGTGGGAGGATAACATTAATATTGATTTTAAAGAGAGAGGAATCGATGGAGCAAACTGGATGCAGCTAGCTGGGGTTAGAGTCCGGTGACGGGCTTTTGTGAACACGGTTATGAACCTTCGAGTTCCATGAAGAAATTGGGATATTCTTTGACAGTTTCCTGCACTTAGAGCGAGTGAGGGCACTACGATAAAGTACTCTTCAATTATAATTGGTGTACTTGAACAAAAATCTCTTTTAGTTTGCGCTATTGCGTAGTGTTTAGCATTGCTAATGTTTTGTCTGATCTCTCGTAACTTCAGTTATGGATTTGAGTTTCTCGCGGCGGTGAGTACGAAGATGAGTGTCTTCTGGGTTTGTAGTGCCCTGTACTCTGGTAAAAAAGTTGCAGAGGTCTTTGCTGCCTCCACCATGGTTTTGCTAAGCCCTGTCTTTGGTTATGTTTACCTCAAATCATTTGATGTTCTTACGACAGAGAAGATGTCGACGTTGTATGGACACTTTCAGAAAGTACAAATGCGCACGGAGATCCACGGAGGTCCTAGATTCAACTGTTTCATTGTCAGACCTGAAATATTTTCATGATGCATCGGGAGGTTCATTAACTTTGGTAAAAACAATTTAAACACATTTCGAAAGTGGCTTCAACGTACGAGGTGCGATCGGAAAGTTTCAAGACTGTGTCAATAGAGGGCGAACCGGATGTAGTACGAGCTTCGGCCGCTACGGGGTGCGGCCTACATTCATAGTGAATCAGTGTGCCAGCCGGCATCATCGAATTAGCATTTGTTTCTTAGTTACGGGCGTTTTGGTAGTGCATTACACCGACCCTCCTGCGATTTCGGAATGGCGCGTGTGCATCAAATTTTGCCAAAGACTCGCCAAAACGGCTACGGAAACCTATGAAATCCTAAAGCAAGCATTTGGGGAGTCCGCAATGGGTCGTGCACAAACTTTTGTGGGGCATTCACGTTTTAAAAATGGCCGAACCCCTG